TCGGTGGGGGCTGGTCCCAATACCCAATTCGCCAGTGCTTCAGTGGGAGTAGGACCCGATGCCCCACCTCCTTCCTATGCTTCGGTGGGGGCTGGTCCCAGAACCCAATTCGCCAGTGCTTCAGTGGGGATAGGACCCAACGCCCCACCTCCTTCCTGTGTCTCTGTGGGGACTGGTTCTGACACCCCATCTATTGGGATCTCTATAATGGTGGGTCCCAAGCCTCCAGTGGGTCCCAAGCCTCCAGTGGGCCCCAAGCCTCCAGTGGGCCCCAAGCCTCCATCATCTGCTGCTGCAGTCCCATCTCTGGTTCCTGGTTCTCCTGCTGCAGCCCTGTCTCTGGTTCCTGGTTCTTCTGCTGCAGCCCCGTCTCTGGTCTCCGTTCCTGATTCTCCAGCTGTAGCCCCTTCTCTGGTCCCTGTTCCTGGTTCTCCAGCTGCAGCCCCTTCTCTGGTCCCTGTTCCTGGTTCTCCAGCTGTAGTCCTGTACCCGACTCTCCTGCTACAGTCCTGAATCCAGCACCTGCTACAGATCTGGTTCCCATCTTGTCTCTCGAGGTCCTCGCTTCTGGCCCTTTGGCTGAGGTCCTCGCTCCTGGCTCACCAGAGGTCCACGCTCCCGACTCGTCTTCGGCTGAGGTCCACGCTCCCGACTCGTCTTCGGCTGAGGTCCACGCTCCCGACTCTTCTTCGGCTGAGGTCCACGCTCCTGACTCTTCTTCGGCTGAGGTCTTCATCCCTGGCCCGACCGCAGAAGATCCCGGCCCATCTGAGACCCTCACTCCTGACCCGTCTGAGGTCTTCGTCCCTGGCCCGACCTCAGAAGATCCCAGCCAGCCTGCGACCTTCGGCTCACGTCTCCTGTCTCGAAGGGGTCCTGGAGGACACCCCTCATGTCTCCTGTCTCGAGGGGGTCCTGGAGGACACCCCTCACGTCTCCTGTCTCGAGGGGGTCCTGGAGGATGCCCCTCACGTCTCCCATCTCGAGGGGGTCCTGGAGGCCGCCCCTCATGTCTCCTGTCTCGCGGGGGTCCTGGAGGACGCCCCTCACGCCGCCTACCTGAACATTGGTCCTGTACTGGACGGCCTCCCGGCCACACCCCTGACCTGCTTTGGCCCATCGGACGGCCTCCCGGCCGCTGAGCCAGTGGATGGTCTCCTGACCGTCCACCTTGACTGTGGTTGGGGTTCCTGTTTTTGTGTTTAGCTACCCAGGTTTTCCTGTCGGTTTTTTGTTCTTCTGGTCCCATGTGTTTCTCTGTCTTGGTTTGTCCCACCT